GGAAAGGTTTTGTTAGTGGGTTTTGAGCAAAAAGCCCAAGTATTAAACTCTGTACCATTTGTGCGGCATGACCATTAGCTAAAAAGAAATGATGCCTCAAATCGAGCAAATTTACAGCGAGTAATATCTGGAGACCACAATATCATTGAGAGTTAAAAGGGGAATTCTTGCGACTTAAGCTAGTAAGCAACCACTAAGTGTTAAACAACCTGCGATACACATAGTTATGCAAGTTACAGAATGCTTTGACTCTGACATATCATATGCAAATACATCTAGAGTCAAGAGTAGCATATCCACTTTCTATTTTGTAAAATGCCCACAGTAGAATTATCGTGGTACAATACTTTCTAGATTTGTAGATTCGGTTGGGGATCGATGGATTATTATGGGCATGCTCAATAGTCGAGTCGCTGCCAAAACCAAAAATGCATGCAAGGAAGGGAACGCTCTTTAATAACGGGTCTCGTGCAGGAGACACCATTGCAAACAGCTGAATCAGAGGATCTAGAGAATAACCACTGCAGGCAAAAAACAGCAGAGAACATTAGATTACAGAGAACACCTAACATTGTGGGTAATACTACATTTTTACGATTTTCTCTAAACCCAGTGATGTCTCTGAGATTTTTTTCCACCCATTTTATTGCACAACTGGTGAAAATCACCCAGTCACTTAAAAAATAATAATAGCACACCTCAACTAAACAAACCAAATGATTTGAAATATCATTCAGGTCCGTAGCACAAACAGTGTGAGACAATTATGCCAAAGTTTAATACTTAGGTTGAAGTTGCGATTAAAAATGAAGTATAGCGAAAGACCTTTTCTTCCGTATTGGATTAATGAAAAAGAAAGAATGTAGGGTGGGACTTGATTCTGTGCATCAAATATTGATTGGATGTGGAGATGTGGGGGTTGCATTCAAAAGTGGAGGCAGATAAATGTGAGCTTACAGGGGTTTAAGATTGATCAAGAACTGCATATGTCACCAGACAGAAGTCAAGACATTTTGGTTAAACATTATAAAGTCAAAAAATGTTTTTAGCATATGCATAATTCACTTTAAGGTCTGCCACATGCATTTAGAAACTTGATAGGATGACTTTTTATTTCATGCAAATTTTAAAAGCCACAGTATACTCTTTGTTCTTCGCAAGTTTGAAAAGGCTGAACAACAGTATACTGCTTGTGAACATTATGACACCGCCCACGCTGTTTAGATGAATATGTAAATAGCTGCACACCATCCTCTCAATAACACAACAAAAAAGACAGCAGTGAGAACAGAGCAATATCAGATCATAGGGATGTGGATATGGTTGCACCAGCTCCACTGTATACACGTTTTCACTTGTGTTTGACTTTGATGGACTCCCTAAAACAATGAACCTGATCAAACCCAATGAACCTGAAGTTTTCTGGAAAGTCTGCACTGCACACCATCCTCTCAATAACACAACAAAAAAGACAGCAGTGAGAACAGAGCAATATCAGATCATAGGGATGTGGATATGGTTGCACCAGCTCCACTGTATACACGTTTTCACTTGTGTTTGACTTTGATGGACTCCCTAAAACAATGAACCTGATCAAATTTCTTGCATGAAGTTTTCTGGAAAGTCTGCACTGGAAAGTTGTTTTGAACCACCAAAACAAACTCTGTATTAGCCATATTTTGAGCAAAATGCTGCACACGTTACGTCTTCAATTTCGCTGAAAGTATATTGTGGCCTTGTTTGTTCCAGTCACTATCCCTCAGTATGAGCAATAGTCATGCTTGCAAACAGCTATTACAAACACAAAATTGGTTTATGTCCTTCATAACCTTTACGGAAGTATAATTTACAGCATTCAAGTCTCATTCAGAGAGACCACATGTAGGCAACGCATACAGCAATGAGAATATGCATAAGAGGAGCTAAAGCACACAGTAGTTTAAGCAGAGGTCTGGTGCATTGCACTGGTGAGAAACGGTCTGTTTTGGTAGCACACATTTGCTCTGCTCACACAGTAGTAACCATGACAATGCAAATATCAAACTCTAAACCAACAGTTTACCTCATTACACTAGCACAATAAAAAGTGCGGGCTGGTTAAAAACTCAAAGTTTTAAAATAAACACGGTCATTGTTTTATGGGCACACTGAGCTGATACGACCTGAAATATGTGGGTCGTCAGATCTGAGAGCAAAACAAATGTTGTGAAGTGGCTTCACAGTAAATAACGCTTTCCCAAAACATCGCTTTTAGGGAGCTGGTTCGATAGACGGCTTCCGAGTGACCTTCTTTGCATTCACGTGTTGCTTAAAATAGCAAGAGGCTGTGTGAAGCCTGTGGATAAATGACACCGGACCCTTTAACAGGAGCTCTAACCTGGCTCGGCCAGAGCTGGGCATGCACAAAGATAAAAGATGTCAGATACAATCACCGAAAACATGGCCATGACATCATTTATGCACAACAACTTTTCCCAAGGCAACAGCCAAGCGCTATGGCAGGGGAAGTGGGGCAAACCTGCACACTGAATCAACACACTCTAAGCAGCCTTTCTAGCAATGATGTCAACCCTTTCCCATACAGATCGGCCCAGACCCTTGAGACAAAAAAGTTAATGAGCCTCACATCACAGGTTTAGCCCTGTAGACATATCAGTCAGTCAGAGAGGCTGGGGTAGGATGCAAGGCTGAATTGATTCAGTTATGTTTACTTCCTTTGCTTTTGGAAAGCATGAAGCCTTGTGAATGGCAACAGAGGATGACTTGAGCACTAGGCCACTTTAAACCATTTACCCACACAACCCCACCAGATTTATAGGGGCAGAGCATCATGGCAGATTGACTCACACGCGTTAGAAATAAGCACATACTGTACACACAAAGTTTTTTTTTTTTGCGAATACATCAGCGCCCTCTGCCTCTACCTTTGAGACATGGCAGTCAGGATTCAAACAAGTTTTTTAAAGGGGGGGCGTGGCAGAGTCTTAACTTTGATAAAGAATATCTCTTTGGTTTTGAGACTTTAGTCTTTGCAACTTCAGGGATCTTATCTATGCACAATCAGCTTGTAACACTCCAAAGAGAAAGGAAAAAATGAAATCGCATCATATGACCCCTTTAAAGACTTTTCCATCATTTGCGATCAAAAAAAAAAAAATACAAATTATAATCACAAAGAGAAACTTGCCAATAGAGTGAATTCAAGTAGCCTAAAAAAAAATAAATAAATAAAAAATAAAAATAAAAGAATCAGGTGTACTGCATTAAGCTAACTGAGACTTGTCATAGCACTTGCATATTGGTTTTGATTGCTTTTATTGTCCTCATTTGTAAGTTGCTTTGGATAAAAGCGTCTGCTAAATGACTATACGCCTTCTTTCTTTGCGTTAACATTTGGGCGGCGTTATGCAAATTTTCCCACATAGTGAGGTAGATATGTGGGGGCGTGTTCGAACGAGCCGTTTTAGGTAGGTGTGGCTAACTCTTAACTTTTATAAAGAATATCTCTTTGGATTTGAGACTTTAGTCTTTGCAACTTTACAGATCTTCTTTATGCACCAAGAGCTTGTAACACTCCAAAGAGAAAGGAAAAAATGAAATCGCATCATATGACCCCTTTAAAGACTTTTCCATCATTTGCGATCAAAAAAAAAAAAATACAAATTATAATCACAAAGAGAAACTTGCCAATAGAGTGAATTCAAGTAGCCTAAAAAAAAATAAATAAATAAAAAATAAAAATAAAAGAATCAGGTGTACTGCATTAAGCTAACTGAGACTTGTCATAGCACTTGCATATTGGTTTTGATTGCTTTTATTGTCCTCATTTGTAAGTTGCTTTGGATAAAAGCGTCTGCTAAATGACTAATTGTAAATGTAAAGTTGGCCACTTTTTGTTCAACTTGTAATTTCGAAACCCAGTTGATTTTTTCTTTATTACGTAGTTAAGGTTAAGGCCCAGCTGTGATATTTTCATTTGAATTCAGTTCATATCATGCGTTATCTGGAAGGTTTATACCAATAAACATTTTGAGATCATGCTCAAAACAAGCGTCCATTGTATTTTTTTTCCCCTACTATGGAAGTCAATGGCAACCACAAACTGTTTAGTTACCAGCAATCTTCAAAATATCTTCTTTTGTGTTCAACATAAGAAAGCAACTCATACAGGTTTGGAACGACATGAGGGTGAGTAAAAGATGACAGAATTTTCATTTTTGGGTGAACTATCCCTTTAACGTACTGTAATAATCAGCTGTTCAAAGTATGGTGATATCTGTGGTGTTTAGTAGATTGACAGTTCCCGCCTAAACAGCGCGCAGTATTCATCCGCACCCCATTTGAACGCTGCCATACTAAACTATTTGATCTGTGTAGTGGAGCTCGCGCAATGATACAGCATATAAAGCCAAAGAACAGTCTATTTTCAGATTACGCCATACACAAACAGTTCTTGGACCTGGAAAACGGATATAGACGATTAAACTTTCGCATTTTGTCTATATCTGATATATACACTAACGCACAATTGGCGAAAATTGCTTTCAAAATATATTTAAGAATCGTACGCAATTTTTTTCTGTGGACCTAATTTTTTAACATTCCCGCCCCTCCTCTTCGAAAAAGAAGTTCCGGTCACATCCGCCATTTCGGTGGAGACTGGAAAGCCATTGTTAGCTAAAAAATACCGCAGTGGTGAAAGTATCGAATACAAATTCGCCAATTTTAGTACCAATCTCGATTTAAGGTTGAAGACTTTAAGATATATATGCTTAGAGCAAGTAACGTCGAGAAAAACATAATTTAAGGCGTTTTCTTTGCGCGCCAGATTCCGTGAATTTGTCCGCTTTCTCCTGTAGCGTTAGCTTAGCAGCAGGAAGACCGCAGGCTGTTTACCGAAGATTTCAGCGTTTCTTGCAATAATATCCGAACCTAGTTTTAAATTTATTAAATACATTTGAGACCTTTATATTTGACATCTTCTCTTAAATCGTCATACTGTCCGCCGTTGCACAGGATTCAGTGAAGAGTGAAGGAGAGATGGCGAGCTCGGTGGGGAACGTGGCTGATAGCACAGGTAACGTTAACGTAACCATGGCATTAATGATCGTTTGGCTCGACATAGAAACCCTTGCGACGATGACCTTCATCTTTTATTGATTTAATGTGTAGTCTATTTGTGACCAGTGTAATAGCTCTATAATACTGACCTCTTTGCATGCGTGTCATGAGTAAACTGCCAAGTAGTTTTTGTTGAAGTAGATTATTTCTAGTCAGCAACACTAACGTTAGTATCATTTTCTTTCCTCATCTTTACAAGACTAGGGTGGGTATAGCAGCCAACTAACGTTATTAGGATGATGAATGAGGTGTCCTTATAAAAGATGTCCAGCTTCCTCGTGTATTGTTGCCTTATGGACGGTCTTTTTGTATTTGTATATATTTTTTATAGTCATAACACGTGATGTTTGTCAGTATTTAGTGCTACATTTTCAATTCCAAAATTTGAAAGGAGGTAGAGGTAGCGAAGAGGATGCGAAATTGTCATTCAAACTTTAAAATGGAATGAAATTTAAAAAAAGAATGCAATGACTGTTTTTAAGTACTTCATTTTCACTTTGAGAACCTTTTTATTATACAACATGTGGGTAATTTCTAGAAACATTTAAATGGTGTTAATATTGAGTGTTTGATATGGAAAGTTTCTATTGCTGGATAGATAATTAAGTTTAATTTAATGGGTGATGACGGGCACCTGCTCTAATTTAAAATGGAGCTAAATATGCCTAATCAGGCAAATATAGTTTTGTTACGAAGCTTTTTTGGACTAATGAAATTACTCAGTTTTGTGACCGTGTTGAATTTACTTTAATTTCAAGCAAACTCTTCTTCCTGTCAATTAATTTAAACTCATACTCTTGAATCGAAAGGAAGCTAGTTCTTAAATACTCTTTAAAAACTCTGGAACACGCGTGTTAATCTGTCCTTTGCACCTTCATATCACATAATACTCATTCATATCAAACCTCATCTCTGTTTCTCATTTTCTTCCTGATTCCTTTGCATTTGAATTTAGGATTTATAACTTTTATTTCAATTATTAATTCATTAATGATTTTTAAAACATTCAGTGTATTAATTTCAGCCATTTTATATCATTAGCTGCCAAGTTTTATATAAAAATAAATAAAAACTTTTTATTTTATATATACATTTATTTATTTATTTTTTGATGGCAGTGCATTAAAAGTGCTATCATCATTACAGGAACCTTCAGTGCTAGTTTTAGAAAATTTGCAGTTTTTTTTTTGTAGTGACAATTAGGGCTGGACGATTGATTGCACTTGCGATAATATCGCGATATGAAAAACCGCGGTTTTTCGATCGCCGAGGCTGCGATTACACTCGGTCACGTGACACGCGAGAGTAAAGAGGTGTGTTCGACTTGAAGATCGATCGGTGTGTGTCATCAAAGTACGGCGAGAGAAAGCATAAGGAGACGTATCTTGATCTCGGCTTCACTCACCGTGTCTATACCGGATGCTACAGTTGTCGCGTTGCGCCGCAACAGCTCTACACTGGATTCGATAAAGCGACCGTTGCAAATCATTTTAACTTTGTGTCAGTAGTACGTCATAAATAGAACGAGGCATCAGTTTAATGTCGGGTTTTGTCGCGTCGTGC